TCGGAGTGTAGAAAGAGCTGTTGGCTATAGAGTAAAGTCGAGGCTTCAACAAAGGGATGATCTCAAGGAAGTTAACCAGTGTCATCGACTCAGTTGACTTCGGGAATCTGCGAAGCACATCCGCATAGGACACACTCCTGCCCAATAGTTCCTTGAAACTATCGTCCGAGTTCGCGATAGAGTTGAGAACCTGAACCTCCTCATCGCTCTTGCTAATACGAGCCAGCTGGCGATAGAAACTCCTAGTAGGCTTGCCGAAGATATCCAACAACTCTACGAAGATTTGCTTCATAGGAATTCGTGACTTAAAAGCCGACCTGAGCCTGGCAGGAACGTCATCGGACAGACACTTAACAGAGAGGATCTCGTTGCGATCGAGATGAGTGACGATTTCGTTGAACAGTAGGTCGACGTCCGACTCCAAGTTCTTCGGGTAAAGGGTAATGGCATCACCGAGACGGAAGGGCAAATCAGCAGCCGAGATGTCCAGAGCGATGTGACGGATATCCCTCTCATACGATTCCGGAGTCAAGCGTCTGTTCTCTAGAACCGGTACGGCCTGGGATCCTGGAGGCACAATGCGCTGGTAGGGAAGGCTCTTGTCAGCAGCAGTGACAGGTAAGGACGTAACCTCGAAGAGCGCCTCAGGTTCCTCCTCGTCTTCAGGCTTCGCACCAACCTCTTCACACAACTTCGGCAACCATTCATCGAAGGCAGTAGCCCATCCATCTTCGGCACGATCATCTCCCTTCGCCAATGGAATGACGGAGCTCATGCCGAGTTCAGCCACCCTTGCTTGAAGTTTCACCGCAGCTGCACAAAATTTATCGTACGAGCTATCCCCAAGGCCGAACACGCAGAAGCGACCTGCAAGCTTCTGGGAACCATCCATTTGCAGCATATCCTCCCAAAGAGCAGTCGCCGCAGAAGGCATATCACCATCACCACAAGTCGAAGTCATAAGAACCAGAAGATCGTCACTGTCAGCCGAGTCTGCGAGATTGAGCTCGTCCATGCTCGCACAAGCCTTGACTACGACACCACGGCGCTTCAGAATACCAGAGAGTCTCTTAGCCAGTTGCTCAGTTGTACCAGTATC